TTGAGTTCGCAGCTTGGGATCGTAGCTCGTGGCAGCTAACTGGCCAGGAAAGCTGAGCACGAGGAGGAGCCGGGTCTCTGTCGGGCGCGCACCGATGCTCCTTGATGTTGATAGCAGAACGTTACCCAAAGTCTCTCATCTCACCCTTTCTTTTTTATAGGAGTTTAGTTTGGATTCAAAGTTCCTAGGTCTCGCTGTGTCACACTGCCTCTGGGTTTGGTGCTTGATCACCCATCAATTGCAGGCGTGACTGTCAGCCTGGGACCTGGCTTTGATCTTCCTTCTGTTGTTTCTTTTTAGGGTGGATGCTTCTTGCTTGAGTTAGGGCTGTTGTCTAGTTCTTCAGCCGTTGGTATTTGAACTTTATCTCATCAGGACGGGCTGGTGCTGGAGGTTGATTCTATCACCCATGCATCCCTCATTCACACATCTCAACTAGACTAATAAAATTACAGTAGAGTTTGCAAAAATGAAGGTTGCAGCAAGCCCTTACAAAATGGAGTAAGCGTTTTAAAATGGGGTTTGAATTACAATATGGCACAGAAGTTACAATGTAGGAAAAATGGCAAGTGTTATGAAATGGTGAACAGAAGTTACAATGGTACAGGATAACTAAAAACAATTTCATTCATGAGTCCTACAACCTCACAGTAGGGCTGCCCATCATGCTCAAAGAAGCTGCCGTTGATGAACGGCGTGAAACATTCCTGCAGGAGGTGGAAGCAAAAGGGAACAGATTGATACGGCAAGCTGGGGACACAGGCAACTCCACAATCCATGCCTTCGCCTGCCATGCCCCTAGCTGCCTCCTGCAGGAAGTGGGCAGGGTGAATCATCTTCATCCAGCAGAAAGGGGCTGCAGAAGTACTGCTGCAAAGATGATCGGTGCCCAGCAGACACAGGGTTACTGAGCGTAAGCAGGGCAGATACAGCAACTGGGAGGGAAAATAAAGCCCTCACCTATACTTCATGTCCCTTTACTCCAGGCTGGCTTTATTAACACAAAGAAAATCCAAACCCAAGAGCAAAACTACTGAGAACACTTGGTAAGCAACACCAGAGCCTCTCCTGCTTCCAATAAGCTGGGAGGGAAGAGAACACCCCCATCCACAGAGACAGCTGCCACCACAACAGCTTTTAGAGCCCACCCACCCCAGCTCACCCAGGTGATAGGTAGGGAAGAATTCCTTATGCTCCAGGGCATCAGGAGCACCTTTTACCTTGTCACAATGGGCTGGTTTTAATTTCTTTAGCTGTATCTGCCCTGCTTACGCTCAGATCAGTGAAAAAGAAGGTGACGGCCAGTAGGGTTTTTTTTAAATTACCCATTTAGAATGCCAGATATTATGCATATTCCCTGGGACAGCGCCCTCCTTCTTGACTCATCCCAAACTATACACATGCAAGAGTCACTTCACCACTGAAATACAGTGGCAGGCAGAAGGTGACAGCCACTGGAGAAATGTGGAGGGGGAGAAATTTTGGGCAAGGACCCTGGGGGACAAGTCCATACCCTTACAAAAGCGATACTGGGTCTTTAATGTCTATGAAGAGACGCTGTTAGAGACCAATTTTTTAATAGGCACCCATCTCTCTATAATGG